AGCATTTCTATTTGGGTATCATAATTCGAGAAGAAACAGACGAAATTAGGTGATCCTAAGAGATACATGTTTTTTTTTTGTTTTTTTTGTTGCAAAAATGGTAAAACAAAGAGTAAAAAGAACACACAATAATTTAGTCTCATTACTGTAAAAGTCTGTAAAATGTGATAATTATGAAACAATATTGGCACAAAGAGTTCAAGAACCCACATCGAATCTTCAGCTGTCCTTAGATGTTGATGCAAGCGCACACTCAAAGCCGGGCCCTCCTCCTCCTGTGGAAAAGCCATTTACTGACCGTGCACGAGGTGTCAAGATCCAAAGTGAATCTAAGAAGGTGCTTGATGTGCTATCTCTCTCCTCCCTTTCCTCTGCTGTCTCTGCCGCTCTCTTCCAGGCCGAGAGAAACTCATTTACCCTGCAAATCCAAATACACGAGCGGAGAGGGAAAATGTATTCATACCACAGGTGATCTTATTACGGGCGCGGTAAACTGAGCAATGAGAACATCATCCAGCCCAAATGACACCTAAACACATATTGACGATGAGAAAAAAGTAATACCATCTGCATAATCAGAGGGAAAAGCATCTCGATATCGTCGTAGGGGAAATGGGATGAATCAGAAAGTTCAGTGCCACCTCGTCAGCCTGTTTATGCACAATGGAGATTTGATTTGGAGTCAGCAAGGAATCTACATGTTGTTAGCGCGTGAAAAATAAGCGCATTATGTTATGTTTTGTAGTTATTGGCCAGTACAAGAGATACAGTAAACTGTTGGAATAGACATGATAGCTGCATGTAAGGAACAGTAGCAGAATTCAATCATTACAAAATCAGGTAATTTACGTTTATGGCAAGATCTTGATCTGGTATGAAAAAATGACATCATCTTCCACGTTTTACTTTTTAGAAGGTGTCCAATAATGGCATAAAAATCCCAAGTTGTTTGTGCTGAAGACGGACAACAAGCAGCTCATGGGTTCAAATATCTTTATGTGGAATTTTCTTATTCTTTCATCCAATGTTTAACTTTTGGATGCTTTTATTTCAAGGTTTTGTGTATAATTTTTGTGTATCCTCAGATAAAGGGAGTACCCTGAATTATTTTATTATTATATGTTTTTTAGGGACAGAACAAAAAGCAATGCAGATAACCGATGCCATGTTCATGGGCGTAAAAGGCAGACCTGGACCCTAAGAAATAAAATACATCAAATTTACATATCATTATAAAACACAGTTTACACAGTATAAATAAAACTAAAGCAAAAATATTATGCAGTTTTTTGTAATACATACAATTCCTGCATGATAGTGATGATTAGTATGTCATGTTATTTCACTGGTGGTGGAATGATCGAAGACTGACAGCCCCACACAATCTGTCTATATGTTATCAATAGATTTTTTTATTATTTGTTTTTCTAATTTCAAGTGATAGAAGTGAGTCACGATAAAACACACATATTTTTCAGCATATTAATATTATTTTATAGTTGGTGCATAATGTTTGACTCCGGAAATGTTGCCACCACTGTAAATAAAATCATGGGTGTGCATGTAAGACCGTGTGCAAGATTTCTTTTGACAATAGTTGGTGCATATAAAACATAGATTCAGGCTCTGAATTTCAAATTATTATTCTTTGGGATGTCTGAGCCGCCCAGGTAGCTGGGCCATTAGCATTTTCCTCTTTGTTCCCATCTATAAACATTTTTGTTGTCCTGAAGGGTCATCTCTGTATTCCTGCGTCTCTCCTCTCCTTCGTAATGAATGAGTGTAATTACCGGGTCTGATTGGTTGGAAGGTCATCGGGAATCCTGTAATTTTTCACTTATGTTAAGCTTGTGTTTGTGATGAATGTACCCAACCTTTATGCATCCCTCTTTAGATTACTCTGAGCATAGAAATGCATCCACAAATTAAGCTGTTCATTGAACACTGCTGCTGGCTGGCCATGAGTACGTTTATACAGGTAAACAAATGGAAAGAGGTGGTGCACTGTTTTTAATGCCTGTCCAGTGGTTACACAAGGGACAACAGACTCTGCATATCTTTACATTTAATTCACGCTCATATCTAGCAGTGATTTTGGTGGAGGAGTTCAAGAATCTTGGGGTTTTGTTCACGTGTGAGGAAAAAATAGAGCATTATATTGACAGGTGGATCAGTGCAGCGTTTGGAGTGATGCGGTCGTAGTTTGTTGTGGTGAAGAAGGAGCTCAGTCAAAAGTCAAAGCTCTCTATTAGCCGGTCAAACTGTAATAATCATTGACCTTAATGAACAAAAGCCTCAACACTTTCACTTTGTTACTTTATAGTATTTTAGTATTGAAGTATACCATTTTATGAGTCTAAACATATAGTATTAAAGAGCTTATTCAAAATCTATTAAGGTAGTTAGTATTTTTTATCTATGTGGGGCATTTCACAGACCAAGGACACACAAAGCACTTTACAACGAAGCCTTCAACCAACACCAACTTCTGGGGCGCTGCTCTGCACTTGACCTGGGTCTCAGTGCTACTACTGCATGCCTTTTAAATCTTTTAACCATTTATGAATACAGATAAGATAGACTTTTTTATCTCAAAATGGAGAAATTTACATAATAAAACTGAACTATTATTTTTATTGATGTAGATTTGGACCAAACAGAGACTTCAAAGCGCTGCTGCACTTTTCTGTTTGTTTTTCCCCCCTGTAATATTCCTTTATATATATATATTTTTAATGAATTCATGCAGTTCTGTGTAGCACTGTCTGCCACAGCAATATTCCCTTGGGACAATAAAGTTCATCATATCTTATATTATCTTAACACCAGAACAAGCAAACTCCACACGGAAAGGCCTGGAGGTAGAATCAAACCTATATGACCTTCTTTCAGTGAAGCACAAGTGCAAACCACTGTGTGATCAGTAACTTCTGCTCATCTGTTCAAGTGGGTCCAGTTTTCAAATTTCCTTTTGATTCACAGATTATCATTAAACTTACTAAAATCAATCTTCATTCATTGCAGTTGATCTTCAATCATTAACACAAGTACTTTCACTTTTCAGTTCAGTTCAAAAATGTAGTGGAGTGAAAAAAGATACAGGCCTTTGAGGCTTCATCTGGACTACTTCCCCCAAACCCTACCTCCTCTCTTTGTCTCTCTTAGTCCATTTTCCAATTTTCCAAACTTTCTTCAGCCCCCGCGGCCCTCTAATGCCAGTGTTTGGTTGGGGTTTTTGTTCTGTCGGTTGAATTAGTGGCCTGTCAGAGATGGTTGTGCTGCAGGGTGCTGGCAGCTGCCCCATTCACTCCACAGCCAATCAGCCTCACACTCACCTGTCCATGAAGGAGGATGGAGGGGATGGAAGGGCAGGGACATCACCAGAGAGATCAGGCTTCACAGGCTGCACGATGGAGGGATGAAGGCCTGATGGATACACCACAGAGATGGTTTTTTGATGAGAGGGAGTGGAAGGAGAACTTAGAGCCAGACAATAACAGCGAAACGGAGGTCTATAAAAAAGTAAGCCAAATTACTTTTTTGAAACTAATGCGCATCTAACGAGAGAGAACTCATTTTGAACCCCAAATGTTCAGTTATGAGTTAAGTTATTTAAAATTCTTGACGACTGTAGTTCAAGAGGATACTTTTTGGCAGCTGGATTTGCACTCAAAAAACAAATAATCTGCCCCTTTCTCTTTCCGTGTTTGTGAATGGGTTTCTTTCAAGCAATAATCAAATACAATCCAGCTTTCATGTGTAAAACTCACAATACAATACCAAAAGCATTGGTAAAAAGGTATACAATATATTCCCTTAGACCAGAAGGTTTATTTAAAGCTGCACTAACTGACTTTGGGATTTTGAAGCCGCGGACTCGCTGGCCTCTCTCTTTCTGCTCCCCTCCCCGCACCCACGAAGCTATCGCCCCCCACACACACACCACTGTTGTTGACGGAGCTAGCGTCTCCCAATATGGATAATACATGGATATGGATTTTCACGTGGATGGCGTGACCATAGAACGAGAGAACCGGGAAGCGCGGAGGAACGAGACTTTCTTTTGGATGGCTGTTTCGCTGTGTAAGCAGTAACCGGTGACGAAGACGAGAAAGTTTCAGGTTAGCTCCGCCGCTTGTTGTGCTAACTCAGCCGTCTATGCTAACGGACCTGGAGATTTCTCTCGAAAGTGGGGGCTAGTGATGCGCTGTGATTGGTCACAATCTGCGACCCGAAACACATTCCCTTCCTTGTTTCATCAAAACTCGATTGAAAATATAATGTCAGGCCAGCACAAATCTGCGCTACTTTTTCTTCAAAAGGACGTATATCCCAATGCACTACATGGACATGGATTTCATTTTCGTACTTAATACGAAAATAAAGTCAGTTAGTGCAGCTTTAATCTACCAATAGCTATAGTGTACCTTTAAAACTTAGATTGTTCACAAATAGTATATTATGTTTGCCCCAACAGAAAGAGTCACACCATATGGTCTTCATTGTATTAGAAAACCCAATAGTTTTAAGCACTTGCAAGAAAGAGCCCAGTGAGTCACTATTTGATGCTTTGGGCTGAGAGCAAGTTAAGTTAGTGCTGCACTCGGTTTTTTACTTTTCTGACAAAGCTGATGAAAGTTGTGACAGTGGCCACACATTTATAGGTAAGAGCGAGTTAGGTAAAATAGGTAAAAGCAAGGAACTATAGTTAAGATGGATCATGTTACATAGTGTCATTTTTGTGGCTTGAAAGTTAGGTACCCCAGCTTTAAAGTAGTTTAATCAAAAGTTCAAGTGACCGCAGACAACACCCCATTACATCCGCTGTGGCTGGTCCCAGTTTGGGCCCTGGAGCTTTCTTTTCCCTCCACTACTCTTAGCTCTCACTGTTTATAGTTTCTCTTACAATTGCCTTGGTGCTGGACTCCAGGGCTATGGTCCTCACTTTTTTCACTCTTTCTTTCCACAGTTGCAGTTCTGACAGGAGGGCTGCAGGGGCCATGATGGACGATGCCCTCTCTGAGTCCGACAACATTTTCTCTCAGTCCCCGGAGCCAGATCGGCCGGCATCAGGCGTGGCACCAGCGCTGGCTCTTCTCAGTGTTTGTGAGGTCCAATTGCTGTGCTCACTCACCCCTCTCGCGACCCCCATATCGGCGGCGCTGGGCTTGTGCAAACTGGAGCTGACCACGCAGACCCCTCGCTTCTCCAAACCTTCGCCGGGACGAGCAGACGGTGTTTTTACTCGGCTGCTTCTCCCTGTCACGTTCCAGCCAAATTGAAATATGAAATCAAACACATGCAAGGACACAGAGGGCAAGGCTTGCAAAGGATTGTGGAAACAGTTTAATTTGTGAACTTGTTCCTTGTTCCTTTGGCTATTTATGCATTTTTTTTAGTAATTTATAATAATTCTTCATGGTTATAAACAATGTATTGTTGTAATAAAGTACATGTTATTGATCTATTAACCCTGGAGGCACCAAATTTATCTGTGAGAGCCTGAATCCAGGACAATTACCATATATTTCTTGTGTATATAGTATATATGTTAATCACTTTAATAGTCCTCTATTTCTTATAAAGATTGAGGGTTTGCTTCACATAAATTTTTTTTATGTTGAAAAGGATTCCGTTAAATTGTGGATTACTGTATGTTAAGATTACTGTATGTTAGGCTTACGGTATATGAGGATAATATTTCCTTTGAGATGATGTATTATGTAATTGTATAAAAAGGTTGCAATCATTGAAGAAAGGTTTTACTTGGGAAAGCAGTTCTTGTAATTAATCTTTCAAGGCCACAAACAAGAGTTCACAACTTAATTCAATCTAATTCATTTGATAATGCTTAATCAATGAGCCCTGGCATGCTAAAAGGTCTAGTTCAAACATTGATTACTGTCTTTCACCTGATGCTCTGCCATAAGCTGGGGGAGGTAACTTCTCATCATTGGCCTTAAGCTGCAGTAATCAGAAGGTTTCAGAACTATCTTCGTCTGGTAAAAAATGTTCCTGGCACTTGCGGCTCTATTGTTGCTATAAGGCCACACATTGTAGATACGCTACAGTTGCACACAGCAGCACAAACCCCAAGCCACACATCTTCAGCCTTAATCCAATTTGTTCAGTCCCCTTGTCTTGGTCGACACAGAATTAAAGGCCTGCTCCCACAAAAACACCTCACATTTCCAAGGTATTGGCTGCCCTGCAAGACTAGAAACTTCATTTATTCTGGCTAACTTCTCAATTATCTTCCTAGTAGTGGAGACGTGTAAAAAGTGCAAAAATCAATACGATTCCATTCCCCTTGTATTGGAAAGGGGTAAATTAATGAGATAGGACACTCTCTTAATCAGAAATAAATGTTTTAATTCAGATAATGACATAGTTTTCCCTTGTAGAAGGATGACAAATGCCAAGGTGCTCTGAGCCCCACCAAGAAGCTGTTTCAATTTTATTGTAAATATAAAAGGTATTGATCGGTGAGATGTACAAACCCTATTGCTTACAAAAGCCATTCAGGGGGACTGGGAAAACTATTAAGCGGTGGGTCAGAAATCAATAAACAACACTAAGAGGTGGCTGTGCCTGCCCTCTCTGGCAGATCTGTGTGAAGCCGAATGGCAGAGTTAGTGACAGGCGCTGCAGCGGTGGAGCAATGCTAAGGATGATAGGGTCAGCTGGTTAATGTGGCACGGGCCCTGACAGGTCAGCCCCCCCCTCTGTGCGCCAGGTCTGACAAGCTGCCATTTAAACAGACACTGACTCATCAGCCTGTCGCTATAGTTAGTGTTTCAGAGAGCTGGCCTCACTGACAGCAGCATCAGTATTTCTGTAATCATCTGGATTTCTTTTTCTCCTCTCGTCTTTTGTCTTTACACTAAAGCTTGTGCTTTTTATACAACCTGTTTTGCATCCACCTCAGATTGTGCGGGCAGCACTAGTTACATATGCATGTGTGATGGTGGAATAAACCACTGAGAGAGAACAAGCTGTTTGCATTTGGCTACCTCTGTCCTGAATGCATAAGTTCAACACATTGATTGCTCACACTCTTTTAGTTTTAATCTGTGTACTCTATATCCAATGTTTAAAATTGTGCTTTTGTCCAGATATATCTGTCTATATAACAAACGCCAAAAAGAATAAATTAAATTATATTTTTTTTACTGTCTAAGACAGTTGAAGTGTAAACAACGTGCATAGGTATATAAGTTCCCTTTGTATTTGTAAAGATAATTACATCTTTTAAGCTATGACATGGAGAGAAAACAAGAAAAGTTGTGTTATTGAAGTTGTAATTATGGGAAAAAAACAAGCAAGTGACCCACCTACCAGGTCAGATGACTTAACCCTAGATCTATGCACTGACCGGACTGTCGCCAGGTCAGAGCCCTTTGGCAATTTACACACTGGCACTGAATGCAAAGAAACAATTATTAAATAAAGTATTTCAAGACTCAATTATTAGCAACACGTGGACAACATATACATATAATACGTTATCCAGATATTTTGAAATTATATATATTTATATATATATATATATATGTAATACATCCACCGGAGCACCTCTGGGATGAGGCCAAAGCTATCTCTGCAAACATTGTAAATTGATAAATCATTGAAAGACGCTGTGGGACTATATCTGCAGGGAGATGCTAAGCAGGCTTAAGGGGATCAGTGTGTGAGTATTGCCATCTTCAGCAGGGAACATCACTACATCCGCCAGACAGATAGATAAATAAATCCAGACGTATGCGTCTGTATACAAATGAGTGTAGCAGTAAAAAACAGGCATAGGGAGCTGAGGTCTGGAAGCCATGGGCTAAAGAGGTATCGAGGAGGATATAGGAGAAAATCCTACGCCATCTCCTGCTGCGTGCAGACAACAGTGATGAGATTTGGGAAGGGTCAATGGCACCCATCAGTATAGGTGAAGTGTTTAGTGGGAGTGTTTCGGTGCCCCCTCCTCTCTGGGTGTCATCCCAGTGTCATGCTCATCTCCCCAGGCTGATGATGAGGGGGCTGCAGGGCCCAGAGGTGCTGCCTCCCTCCCCAGGTGTGGCTGATTTGACCCCGCTTTGTAATTCCTGCCTAATGCCCTACGTCCCCAACAAAGCCCGAATCTGTGGCACACTCAGACCCCACTTGACCCTCGCAACCCAACACAATGCAATTGGCCATGTCATTATATGAAGGTGGCTCTGTCCCATCTTTCCCACATGCAACACAGGACTGTATAAATTGATTTCCAGCCGTGGGTAAGGCACCTTTGCATCCCTCCCCAGCTGGAGCAGGGAAAATGAGAAAAAAAATGACAAGGCGGAAAAGGTCATCCGATGTCTTGGATGATATCAAGGGAAAATGGGTCCAAACAGGCAGGAATAAATATTTATCTACAGCTCCATTTGAATTCCCATTTAAAAACAGGAGCGGGATAGTGGATTTAAAAAAACAGAATTATGACTTACGTAGCGTTGCAAACGACAACCCCAACAACAACATGACAATGCTGACAACATCAGTGCTGATCTTTGAGAACAAATTATGATATCATTAAATGATGTCAGTGCCATGCAGTGGATCCTGAGTCCTGCTCAAGTGCTTGGGATCTATTAATAGTTAATGCCCTGCATGAACTGAACCAGCTGTGTTTCCGGTGACAGAACACATGCAACTAAAATGGTTCCTAAAATATAACTAGTCCTTAATTTGCATTTTTGCAGCCATTTTTAGCAGAGAGAGCAGCAGTTCTTTATGCTTTATAGCAGTACAAACTCCTCATTCGTCATGTCTCTGATGTATATGGTGACCATGACTAGTCCATAACTCAGGCTAAAGAACACAGGCACTTTCCACACTTTGTTGTCTCACCAAAGAGGAGACCTTCGCGGCATGGAGCGGCGCAGCACGCGGCTCAGCCACAGACAATTTATGATGGGGTGACACCAGCAGAGGGTATGATTTATAGTTTAATTTGCTGTGGTAATGGACAGAGGATAATAACATGTAAAATATTAATCAATGTGTAGCAACAGCAGACATCATTTGCTAAGCTTGTTATCCGCTGCTCTGCTCCTGACAGTGAACAATTAAAGTGACATGAGGAAAACAAGGCACTGGGGCAGGAGCGGCTAAAGGCCTACAGGGCAGCAGCACCTGAAGCACCTCACAGCAGAGCACTGTCCAGTGTTCATCGTCCAAAAACGCTTTAGAAACACTAATACAGAGGTTAAGAAAATATAAAGTGGAGCATTGTACAAATATATTGTGGAGGCCTGCATTTTTATTTAATACATTGTTTGTTTTATTTTTTTATGGCGCTTGTTTTAGACAAGACACTTCATATGTCATTATACATTCACTCCAAACACTGTGGTGATAAATGTATATGGTAGCCATAGCTGCCCTGGGGCACACTGACAGAAGCGATGCCATCGGCGCCTTCGACCACCACCAATTCACACACACACCAGACTCAATCTAGTCAATGTCGATGTAGTGTCTTGCACAACAAAAACAGTTTGGCAATTTAGAGCCAGAGCCGCCCAGAAGTCTCCCATCACAGTACTAACCAGGCCCTACTTAGATTCAGGTCTGGTCGGATCTTGCTTTCACATGGAAGTGGCGCCACATGCAAAATGTAAGATATTAACATGTTTAATGTAAATTATGACTACATGTCCTGCTGCAAACAAATTATCTCAGTCAGGCCTGATCCATGCTCCACATAAATAACATGACAGCTTTTTCTTATGATGAACAACATTTATCTGACAACAAGTCAAAAAACAAAAAACATGTGGAATGTGCAATTTGTTGTTACGGACACCAAGCAGTGAACATATGTATTTCTTAAAAATTCTTAAAGAGCATATTATATTTATTTATCATTTATATTTATTTATATATATATTTATTATATATTTTATGTATATATTTATTTATACATAATATATATATATATATAATATTTATAATATATATAATAATATTTAATACATATAATATATATAATGTTTACTTCTTCATAAAAAGCCCCATCACTCATGACTCTTTAAAAACACAAACACATGGGCCGATAAACTTGGTCTTTTGCTCTCAGAAATCCAGTCCAGCAGTTTGACCTTTGTTTTGTGAGTGGGCTGATGAATGAGCTCTCTGCCGCTGCACACGCTGTATGCTGAGTGATGTCTACATAATTAAGGTGCAGTGGTTTAGCCCCAGTGATGAAGTGTGTGTATGATTAGGGCTGTTAAGGCGACTCGTCTAACCT